AAGCCATCGCTTTTCAAATTCAATTCAGAACAACTTGAATGGTGTCACTCTTTCTTTTGGACATTTCATTCAACGCGGATTTGGCTACGACTACAGGGGGACTGTGAGTGATCACCGGCGCTGCGGACGGGAACTTCAGACGTTAGGCTTCATCGGGTATTTCGAAATCAAAAGAACCCCACCTTTTTAAGTGTTCGTGGATGCGAACACTCCTTGTTATCCTTTTGGAGCAGGTCATGGGCAACACTCAATGAATGAACTATTGGGTTCAGCATCCGCCGTTCCTGGCTCATGGCTCCTTGATTTTTTGCTGATTATTTTTGAAGTTATGATGTATTCTGGGCGGAAGTGGTGTAGTGGCAAGTGGCACGCTTACCACGCGAGCGGTCCGGGGATCAAATCCTGGGTCGTGAGTCGCCCGGGCCAACCAAGCCTTCCATCCCTCCGGGGTCGGTTAATTGGTACCAGACTTGTCTGGGAGGATAAAAACACTGACTTGTACATCGGCTGGCCCCCGCAAGTCATTGTATAGGCCACATCGCATTCAAACGCCACTACGAATGTACAAATGGAAGTAGAATGCGTGCCGCATCCCAAAAAGGGATTGATCAACGGCAAATGCTTTATCCTTTATCCTTTATGAGGTAGTCTGAAAGCTCGCAATCTCTTGTACATTTTTGTGTACAACACTTGTGTATTTGCTTCACTCTGGAGCTTACACGTGAGCAAAAGATTGCTCATGCTGGTGCAAGTTGAGCTCGAAACCGAATGCTTCTGCATCTGCTCGTAGAATCAATGAAGCCTGGGATGAAGGCACGGTTGCAGAGAAGGACTGTTCGAGAGCGTTTGTTGATTACTCATTTATTGTTGTTTTTGGGTTTTGTTAATAAACTTATGAGTGAAATGAAAACGGCGGATAATTTCTGCTCAACCTAACCCATACTTTCCTATAGGAAACCCAACAGTTCACTTTTACGCTAGCAGCGACGTAGAAATATTCCGCGGAAAATATGATACCTATATTGTCGTGGTAAGTTTTCATGTGGGTTACCTCTGAATAGCAAATGAAACCTACCACTGAGAAGATATTCCTTTGCCAATATCCAGAACTACACCACAAGCAGCAGACTCTGATGGTGTGGAAATGGTTTGCGACAGCGAGCTGTTTCCATTCGGTTCCTCAAAAATACAAACCCTTGAGCTCTCGAACTTTACAGCAGTTTCTAACTAGCAGGATTTTACAATCAACTGCTTATTTCTCAGTCAACCCAATACTTGTATTTCACAAATTCCTAAACCAAGTTGTATAATCCAAAACAAGTTCATCTGCACTTGAAAGACAGGGTACAGGATCAAGCTCGTGCGCTAGTTTTACTCGAAAATAAAGGTAGGGATGGGAAGTGGAGCGAAAAAGGAGAAAAAGGATGAACGAAACTGTCAGAAAGTCAGGGAATACGAACCTCTTTTTTTGTGCGAGGAGATGTCTATGAAGCGGACAGCGAAAGAAGAGACAATGTGAGTCGAGGAGAGAAGTCTACATCGAGAGCGCAACAGGTCAACGTCACGGCACAGATAAGATATCGAACAGCGCGAAGGGGACTGATAGTTTTGGTGGGATTTGATCAAGGTCCTTAGCGCCTAGTGTCTTGATGAGCCGTTTGAGGTGAAGAGGTGGCGCAACTGGTACATTTGCGCACTTACCATTAACATTTCTAGAGGTTGAGCCTGGTCCTTGCCTCAAACAATTCGGAACAAGTACTAACCTTCAAGACTTCAACGTGAGTGACCGTATATAACAAGCGACTCAGCTCTGTTTCATTCGAAAAAGTGGATGACCCTGTCACGTTGACGTGGGATACTGTAAGACACTGTATTAGCATAAATCTGATGAGTTCTGCTTCTTCAGCTCTTCCAAACAAACAATTTAGCTGTGATGGTTTCAAGTATGTTAAACAATGTACCAATGTTTTTTTTAGCTCAAAACCACATTTGAGAAAGGCTTGAGTAAACACTTTGAATGTCTGCGATGAGTAAAGCTAGAATGAATAGTACGAAAATCTAACCCCAATCAGCATTGCAGAACGCTTCATTGCTTGGCAGTTTGCGGCATCTGCAGCCGAAAGCTACACCCATTGTGCAGATGAAAATTAATAGCGACTTCATTGTAGAGTTCTGAAAGCAAGTGGTGGTCAATCGAAATTAAAAAGTAGTGTTACAATACGTGAAAGCGTGAGAACGGATGTAGTGTGGAATCGTGAGACTAAATAGCGCCCAATCATAATCCCGCCTGAGCGGCGATTGACCAATCGGTTTCGTTTTGCTGATCACTGATCAGAGAATACAGACAGGCGATGGTGCAGCTGCAGGGCAAAGTGAATCTAGCGCGTAATTAGTGTTCACATGATAAAAGGCAGCCAGAATAGGCGCCCGTAACGTCGGCGAATTCCTTTGGGTTGCGCCATGTATTCGAATTTCACACACAGTCGTGGACCTTCCAATCACTGTTTTTGCGTGACCTGCCGTCTTCATAGATACTGTTGCTGGCGACCGTATTTGGACACAAAAGCTGATCGAATAAGCTAGCTCTGACAAACTTTCTACAGATCAAAGATGCTGACCTTCACCATGGGTGGGTCAGGCAAAGGAAAGAAGTGGAAGCACCAGATAACGGAATAATTACGATAAATAACTCTCATGTTGACATAGATAGCGACCGAAAAAGCGGAAAATTTTAATAATGGTAACAAGGACGGTTTCTCTTCTTAGAAACTACTATCAGGTTGAGCGGAAATTACCGCCGCTTTCATTTCACGCGAAAGTTTATTGACGAAACTAAACAAATCGGCAACAAATGATACACAACAAGGTCTATCAGTACTCTCTGCAACCGAGCCTTCACCCCAGGCTTCGTTGATTCTACGAGCAGATGCAGAAGCATTCGGTTTCGAGCTCAACTTGCACTCATGTAGCATGAGCAATCTTTTTGCTTGCGTGTAAGCTCCATAGTGAAGCAAATATACAAGTTTTGTACACCAAAATGCACAAGAGATCGCGCGTTTTCATTTTACATCATAACCATGGAAAATGATCGGCAAAAACTCGAAGAATTATGTGCTTGAAGAAAAAATGGCGGATGATTTCCGCTCAACCTAATATACAAGGAATAAAGTTGCCAAATCATAATGAGTGATTGTTGTTTAGTGTTTCAGGAGATGCCGAAGAAATAGACGGCGATAGATCGAAATGGTTTCCAATGAAACTGTCTAATATGATAAGAGTGACGTCATTGCTGTTTGACGGAAGAATCACTCTCGAATAGCGCGAAGCACAACTGGCGCTCAGCGAACTCGTGCTGCTTGTTTACTGCGTCTGAGCCTACGGTAATCCTCCGTTAAAATGGTCGTGTGCTGAATGAATCACTGTTTTATGTTTTGTTATCACCTTTTGTTATCACCAGGAAAGTATTTCAGGGAGTGCCAGGCATTTTGAAAACGTTCCCTTGCAAGATATAGGGGCACATGCGGGAACCACAGAACCATGGTTAATTTTCATT